GCGGAGATGTTGCAGGAAAGAAGCGGTGCTGGTTCGGTGGCTGCTGCTGTCGGCTGCGCTGGAGCAGGTACCATCGCTTGCGCAGCACTCCTCCAAAATGTCATCGAGCCTGAAGAGATGAAGAAAGAGCTTCTTCCCAGGCTGTTGCAAGACCTGTTCAACTGAAGCGATGTGAAGATAAAAAAACCAGGTCACTGCGGAGGTATGTATCAGGGAGACAGAGCAGCTGTGGACTCGTACCAGGGGAGCAGCCCCCCACTCTCCAGGGAGGAAACGTGCTGGTTCCCTGCACGGACCCACGGCAGCCCAGGGGAAGGGGGCTTCGCTGTAGCCAGTGCCGTTACTGGGCCGGGACGCTCCCAGCTGCATCCCGTGACATAACTGAGCTGTGCTCCTCTGTGGCAGAGGATTGCTGATGCTGCTGAGGGAATTTCCATGAGAAATTCTGTATCTCACTTGGAAAAAATCAGCAGGGCACTGGCACACCTACTTCCCCCCAAAACCCCAAAGTGCTTATTAGTACAATACCGCCAAAGTATTATCAGTTTCATATCATAACACTGTGGCAAAGAGGTACTCTAGGAAAACTGTTTTTACTTAAAGATGCCTGAAAGCCACAGCTGGCCGGAGCTTGCCGTGCCATGTCACCCAAAGCACACCGCGGCCACGGGGAACCTCACAGGAGACGGCAGCACCAGTTTCAGATGGGGGGAGATGGACGAGCAATACAGCCCGGGCTGCAGCCAGCCACAATTGCTCATGATCTGTTGTACGCCCAAGAAATTTCCTTTCTTCTGATATTTCAGAGCAGACATTAAAGCTTCAGTTTCCACACAAATACAGACGCCCAGCGATCACCACCCGGACTGCTTCCTGCTAGACAGCCTCGGTCCACACACAGTCCCGACTCCAAACATTTTCTTAAGCAATTTGCACATCTTAAAAATAAAATCCTTTATTGATAATATGAATGTTTAACATGTTTAATGCCATCAGCTATAAAAATGATTAAAGACTTCAGCTTGGTACATTTGGCTTTACAAATTTACAAGTGTTAATGAATTAATGCTAGTGTATACATTTTGCACTTCATTATACTCCATTAGCCAGTGACAAACTCTGCAACAATGTCTGCGTATAACAGATGTGAGTTAAAGAAGAAATATTTAGTTGCTTCCACACAGAATCTACACCAACAGTTAAATACTAACTCTAAATGTCTTACTGAATTAGTTGGATCCATTTTAATATCTTGTGCTTAGTTTCTCTCAGAAGATAGGCTACTAGCAAAAATACATTCTTTTGCATACCCCCTTCCCATATTACATTTTAGAAGAAACAGTACTCAGTGCATTTCCTAATAGACTTCATCATAGTATCTCTCTCTCTATAGAGCTATTGATAAAGAAAGGGGATAATACCATTTAGATTAATGTAAAAGCAAAGAAACACGTTAAAGCAGTGTATACAAAAGCCTCACTTTTGAATCAGAAGTGATACATGGGCCAAAAATCCATCTGCCCATCAGTTTTTACAATTACTCTCATCAAGAGAAAAATCTGCTGTGGCTACTCAAAAGTTAAAAAAGTAATAAATGTGCTTCCAAAAGAGTCACTGCCCATTTATCTCCAGGCTGCCTCTGTCTCCCTACTGTTAGTGCACAGCCCGTTCCACTGGATTAGAAACAATAGCACATAATACCACAATTTAAAAGGCGACTAAAAAGTCTGTAAAAACCTCTTGTTCTAGTCTAAATACCTGCCATGGCTGTGCGGGAGAGAACAGCAGGGTCACTTCAGACAACAGCCACTTCAAAGCAGCACAAGAGCTCTGATGTCCTACAAAACGAGACTCAAAGCCAGAAGGAACCTATCAGGTCATGTACAGTAGTGCATCCTCCCAGCCGCCGCAGGGATCTTTCCTACAATAAAGGTGGATGTATTTTGCCTAATTAAATATTGAAAAATGACAAAGGAGAAAGCGTCTCTGGCAGTGGGAAGCTGTGCTCTGCATAAACGTGACACTGCTGCAGAGGGAAATGCTGAACATTGAACCACACTGAGCAGCAAGTCCAGTTTCTAAATTTAGGATCAGTTCACATACACCACCTGAGATAATTAACTCAGGGTTGTGCTCTCAGCCTCTGCCACCGAGCTGCGGTGTGGTTGTCTTGTACCTCTCGCCGCAGCAACGCAGAAAACCAACTGTGCCGTGCTGCTGAACGACGAGCCGCACAGGCAGCACGTCTGCAGCGAGGACTACGCTTCTGGCAGGAATCGGTTGCTTCTCCCCTCTTGGGCCCAAATAATTTTTCACACACATGATTTGCCTCAAACTTAGGCAATTCCTAAGTGATTTTCTTAATCTTAAATTAATTCCCACGTTTTTGTCATACTAGGCAGAACACCAAGAATAGATAAAGATTTTCCTAATACATGGTGTATTTAGTGTGTATGTGTGTGAAACTACTTACACATATACACATATTCAATTACACGACGGTAATGATTTGGTTCCGCATTTGCAGCCAAGGAAAGCCAGCAAGATCCCATAGCTAACTAGTGGGTAAAATCCAGGTCAGCCGGACACAACTGATAGAGATGAGGAACAAAATTATTGCTTTTGTTTATAGCAGAAGATCCCATGTTACTGTTGCAAAAAACCTGTATCATATTGACTAGTGATTTTTTTTCAAGTAATAGTGAGATCTTCGTCAAGTAATAGCAAGATCCTTTTCTCAGAAGTTCTACACACAACAGTAGAATGCTTGAAGAGCTTGAAAATTCAAGGTGACACACCAGAAACTGGAGTTCAGCCATTTAAAGTACACAGGCATCTCTGCAGAATGTGTTACAGGAAAGCAAAAGGAACTACGTGGACAATGAATACCAAGAGAAAGGTAATCTGGATTGTGTTATGGCTAAATTCTACCCCAAGAAATTTACATGTGCTTCCTCAAATAGCTAGGAGCTGTGTCCCGAAGGACAAAGTGTGGCTGGCTGCGTCAGTCTGGTGGTCACCTTACAGAATTTGTAGCACATTTGCTAACTCATTTTAGCAAATGGAAAGAATTAAAAAGAAAAACAGTGTTGGTTCAACATTCAGGACTCACAGAAGAATTTGTCTCTGCAGCTAGATGGTCCCCCTCCTCACCTTCTTCAGAGGATCACATTCATATTGCAGGCTTAGTTCAGGCACTTTTTATAAAATGTTCATCTGGAGTAAAAAGTCTGCAAAAGTTATTTCTGCATAATTTAAAAGTAGCATTTCAGTCCCATTAGAGTTTGATAGTTAGGTCCCACCAGGTGATTATGGTTCCTGTTATCTCTAATGATTTGACTGTTGCCATGAGACATTTTGAGGCTACTGTATAGCTGTAGTTAAGGTTTCTTCATAAACAAAAATATCTTCCTACCTATTACAAAAGAAAAAAAATATACTAAATGCTTTATACAGACAGAATCTGCTACTATGGAAATAAATAACATGGAGTGGAAAAACAGTGTCTTAGCTCTAGGATGCTAAGCCATGGAATGTCACATTCACATTTTCTGGAGACTAGCTGCTAGTTGGCAGGAGAATCTCCATGTCTTTGCCATTGGACACGACAGCATTGTTAGAGCAGCTACTGGCCACGTCCATAGGGGCACCCAGAGAGGGTGCCTGGGAAGAGGATTTGGTTAGTGGAGTAGGAGCAGCAGGTGACTGAGCGAGGCCGGGTTTCTTTGGAGGAATGGGCGGAGGGTTCCCTCTTTCTGCTCGAGGAATGGTTGGCGACTTAATTCCAGGAGACAACGGGCTTAGTGGACTGGAAACCTTGCCAGGGCTTGGAGAGTGACCAGATTCGTTCTTGGGGCTGACAGCATTTGCCAGATTTCGATAGTCTGTGCCAAAAGGTGAGCTGTTAGGGGAGACAGGTTTAATAGGTCCCTGCTGGCTGGTAAATCTGGAAAGGACCTGAGTGACGGTATTGCGGGCCAACTGCTTGGCGGCAGAGTTATCTGCTAGAGTAGGAGACAAATCCCGTGACGGTGGGCTCTGCAGACCACTCGACTGATGGTCCTGTTCAGCTTGAGACTGAAACTTGTGCCGAGCTGCATGGAAACGTTGATTGATCCCCACCTGGTAGGATGACTGGTAACCAGGGCTGCTTGCTGAAGCTCCCACTAAGCGCTTAGTCAGAACTGGTGAGGAGCAGGGAGAAGGCGTTAGAGAGGAGGCAGCTGTGCCACCGGGAGACAGCGAGACCCCACTAGAAGGGAGCTGGGACATCAGATGCACCGGTGACTCTGTTCTTACAGGGGAACTTCCATTCTCAACTGCGTTTTCTGAGGCTGCGCCAGCAGATTTCTCCTTTTGAACTTGGTTCTCTGCTGCATTTGTCTGCAGTAACTCACTACCTGTTTGCATGTCTGTATCACAATGACCATTGGATTTTGCATAGGAATGAGCAGGTGTAGTGGGGCTGGGAAACATAGCGTGTACAGCTTTGCTTGTGCTGGCAGGATTTGCTCGGTCTGCCTGCAGACACTCTGTCTGGCAAGACACAGACTTCACTGTGGGACTGTCAGTTGCAACACTTCTGGACATCACCGAGGGGCTTGGCTGCAAAAGCTCGGCAGGACTGTGCTCCTGGCAAGAAGCCTCTAGCTCTTTCAGGGTTTTCTTCAGAGATTCCACCTCTTCTTTGAGTGCTTTTGTACGGTTTTCTTCTCTGTTCAGCTTGGCTTTCAGCTGTTCTCTTTCAATGTCAAACTCTGAGAGCTGCTTTTCTACTTGTGCTTCCATCTGTAAACCCCGCTTCCTCTTGGACGCCAGCTCCTCTTCCAGTTTACTCACCTTACTCTTCTCTTTTTCCAATTTCAAGCTCAATTCTGCTGTCTTCTGCCCCTCTTCAGCTGCTTTGGCAGTGGCTTTCTTGCACTCCACTACAAGCATGGAAGACAGTTGCTTGTGGCGTGCCCTTTCCTCCTCCAACTGGCTTGACAGCTTCTTCTGTTCTTTTTCAAACTTTTTCACTTGGGATTTTTCAAACTCCAACTGGAAGGTAAGAACAAAAAAAGACTATAAGTGAACCACAAAACCTCCTGAAAGTAAATGAAGCATAATGCCCCAAAAGGGAATGGGGTTACTATGTATCTTGGAGAAATTACACAGTAAAAGACGGCAATGGCTAAGAAAGAGGTTCCTGCCTCAGGTATCTGCAACACAGTCCTGTATGGCTCAGGTTGCATGTATTAAGAATTATTACTTGCTAGTAGTTTTATCATGTATGAAATTCAATTGACCTTTAGTGAGATATACACCCAGTCTGCCATGCACTGATTGAACAGGCGATCTGGAACAAAGCTACCTTCCGCCTCGTTTACTACTTTGTCGGTTTGCCTTTTAAAGGCATTTAGACTTTAAGATGCTGATGTGTTATGTATGTTTAATAAAGTCTACAAGACTTGAGTAACAGAAAACAGTAGCTTAAATATTTATTATCATCTCTGAATAATACTCATCCTCCCGAGATCTTTCATGACTTATTCTGAATTTTGAGTACTAGAGAACCCTATCATTTGCAAGCGCAGCCCTGTTCTTGAGAACTTCTCCGATTTCAGGCTGAAGTAGGATTTCAAAGCATTCGATCGCCTATTAATAGCTTTTAGCACTGCTCAGCTACCAAAACACCCTGAAAATTAAGGTTGCTTTTCATATCGAAATGATAAAAAGCTAGGAGTGCCTTACAGAGGAGGGAGGTGCCTACTGCTCTTTCAACACAAAGGTGCAATTAGACATCGCTACCGAGTTCACCGCCCAGGAGCCCGGGGTTTCTGTGGGTTGGGTAGTTACCAGCGACCAAAGCATACCTGCTGGGTGAGCCGCTCCCGCTCCTTCTCCAGCATGTAGGTGACATCATCCCCCTCCGCCGTGTCCTGGGCGTGCCGCTGTCTCTCCTCCTCCAGGTCCAGTATCACCTGCCAAACAAACATCGGTCACTTTGACGCCCGTGCACGCTGATGAGTGGGGAGAGATCAGCGCCTTCGCACACGGTCCAAAGACAAATGACATGGAAGGGCAACCGCTGCCGCCTCAGACATCCAAATTCAACTCAAAAATCACATAAAGGCAGCTTTTGGGCAAGTTACAATACTACGTTATTATTTGGTACAGGCGAGTCAGCTTGTGAAAGAAGTTAGGAAAACCTCACACTGGACGTATCTTCGTTTTACTATTAAATAGCTAAATTGCATGCTTTTCCTTCAGACTGCAGAATACCCTTGAGAAGTTCACGTTTTCTGTCCTTGGTTGCGTGGTGCCCTCATCAGAATTCCCTGGCAGGACCATTAATATAAACGCCAGCAGGAGCAGAGGCACTGCCCCGGAGGCTGCGCATCCAGGGGGCCCAGGGCACTAACAATCACAACAAGGCGATCCACGCTACGGCTTCAGCAGCAATTGGCATACAGGCTTCTCCCCCAGTTTCTTACAGGGGATTTGAGAACTGCAGTGCAAAGTTTATTTTAAAGAACATTAATTTGTTCTTCCACTTAAGAACAAGATGAGCTCTTGAAAAGAAACTGCTCACCATAAGGGCCCAGTTAAGGAGCTCCTTCAGCTTTAGCGCTGAATTACATGAATAATTGAAATTCTATTAACTCAAGAAAAAAGCCAGAATACAAACTTCCCAAGAGACACTGCCATATCTCACCACCAAAATTCTAGGCTCTCCCAACACACGCTCACGATGAATTTAGCAGCTCCTCAGTCTTCCTGAAATTTAAGCTTCCAAACAATGCGTACTTAAAGATATTTAAGTACACAAGGAACCTTTTTACAGAAGGAGACAGGAAGGACAGAAGGAGAAGGGGAAAAAAAAAACCTGATTTTAATAGCATGATTTAGCTGGATACTTGGCTGAAAAGTGAAACACACAGCCTTGCTGTTATCTCCAGTGATTGAAGAGGAAAAACTGAAAGCTGAAGCTACCTCCAGCCGCCCACCCTAAGCATAGTGTCTGTGATGTAAAAGTCAAGCTGCCTATGGTTGCTTATGTCATGGTAAGGTTTCTGCAACAGAAATGTTTCACATTATTCACAGACTGAAAGGAGCTTGCTCTATTATATCCCCATCAAAACAGATTACAGGAAAATAAACTTTAACCCTGAGCGATGAAACAGAGGGTTCAACTTTGAACCTTTTAATTAGAAACAGAATGCGACTACTTGTATTTGAGATCTCTGTACATGATTTAGTAAGTTTTAATCAAAGCAAGAGTGACATACCTGAAAAAATACAGGATGGTATTGGCCCAAGCACAGGCACTAGCCAAAAGTACACCTAGATCTGACATTGTAAAAGACAGCTTCTAGACACCACCTCACAATCTGCCACTGACACAAGTAAAGGCAAAAATCCCAGCTGTTTTTTAAGATGGAAAAGAAGTATGTGAAGAGGTTAAGATACAGTGCTGCAATGCAGGTGACTGCAGGGATGCTCCAGAGAGCTCCTCCCAGTCGCAGATTCCAGTGATGTACTCTTGGGTAATTATTCTCTGCCCTGGCTACATAGCAGGGACAAATACTTTAATCATTTTGACTTGTATGAATTTACTGAAGGACAAAACAAACATGTAAACATGGTTTTTTTAAAAAGCTAACTAGTTACATAAAGAGAATATGTTGCAGCAAGACTCCAAGAAACAGAGTTCAGTGGACTCTTGCCTTCAGACTTGTGTGCAGCTTTCTGCTCCTCCAGTGAACTGCGGTATGGCAGAGGAGCAGTCTGACACGTGGACCAGGCACTTCAGTGGTGTCAATACATGTTAAAGCTATATATGAAGAATAATAGGTGCTTTATTAAAGAGGTCAAATAGCATGAAAACCAGTTGTGGTCACACCATACTTTTTTAGGAAAGCACAAGGAGGTGCACTCCCATAAGTGCCTGGTACCAGCCCTTCGATAATCACTGAGAATAGTGATATGTCTGCTGAGAATTCAGTCTTCCAGAAATCCTTCCTTACATTTTGGTAAGCACTATACCTCCCAGCTGTGAATAAGCTAGTTCCATTTTTGTGTGTCCTAACAAAAACATTTTGCATGTATTTCAAATTTTGGAATTACAATTAATATGCTTACCAGTTGCATCATACTGAGTGAGAAGCTTAAACAAAGGTGTGAAGTCCTTCCAGTTACCAAAACTCAAGGCATTTAAGTGTTTTTGCTGAAGTTAACATACTATCAAAATGCAACTATTAACTTCTGCACATCTTATTTGAAGCAAAACCTACCTTTCTGTGTCTGCTTTCTGCAGCAGCTAGTTGGGATAACATTCTTTCCTGCATATTCTTGCAATGTTTCATCACCACTTTCAAAATAGATAAGGGATTGGAGCATACTGGTTGCTTTTCACCATGATTTCCCTCTTTCAGGGTCTCAAAATCTCTCTGCAAAGCCATTAACGGATCACTGATGTTGTACTTCCCATAGCGTTCTTCAATGAACGTGTCTCTATGTTGGGCCTGCAATAAAGAAAAACAAATTTGCATTTCAATGTACCTAAAATAGAAAACTAGCTAAAGAAGAAAGTACATTGTAGTTAATATTCCTCTTCCCCAGTTTTCCATTAGAGATAAAGAGATCTTAACACAGTCTGATTCATATCCTGTTATCTGCTATAAGAGTAAGTGTTCAGACAGGAAAAAACACAAGTGCATCATGTTAAAGGTCCCTGGTTAACAGACAAGAAAGAGACAGTAATTCATAAGACAAAACTGGTCCAGTAATATATCTGCCAAAGAGCTGTGCAGTCCATGCCACCTCTGGACCAAGCCCGTCTGGACCTTGCCATTCCTGATCAGACCAGTAACAAGTGGACAAAGACCATGTTTTTCCCGTACTAGGTGCATGTACTATTCCTGTAATGGCAGACTCTGATCAAGCAAGTTAAGGCTATGAAAAGTTAGTGTATGGTGAGGACAACAATCCTTCTACCATCAGAAGGGATTTTTAAGCTTTTAACATTTAAGCTTTCAGCTAGGCTCCAAGCTAATAAAAACGCTCATTAATATATTTAAAATGGGCAAAAGTTGATGGTCTCTCAGTAATAAAGACAATAAAATCTAGATGGATCATATACACGCAAGCAAACCCAGCTCTCGCAGCCTGGATCAGCATCGCCCAGCTGGATGTGCCCCTGCTTCACAACTGCTCCTAGAAGCTACCTGCTCTCCAGGTAAGATACTTGAGTCTTGAAAAAATTTTTTGCAAAAAACATCTGCATTTCCACAGCTGGAACACAAGCAAATGCATACTATTCACAGGCAGTCTCAAATAAGCACGTGGGAGGTTATATGAAGCATGTGCTCGATTAATTTCTCACTGTGCCTCCAGTTGAACAGTGTCTTTTAACGAAGCAGCCCCAAACAAACTAGAAACAAGGGAAAGTCTTGCATAAAAACACAGCATCTCCACAATATATTCAGTCTGCTAACATCCTCATACCACAGCTACCTGGTATCCATGTCCATGACTTACATTCCACAACTGTGCGAAAGTAAAGTATCAATTCTTGCTCAACAAAAGATTTAATCATTTACTGTTGTATCAGTGGAAGAGCAGTTGTGTGGTTTCCTTGACTGTCACCATCAAAGAATTTCACACTGAGCAATTAAAAGAGTTTTATTCTTACAATAGCCTATAAATCCATAAATTGATAATACAATCCTTAATATTCTCATCCAGACTAAACAAAGTTTAGTTTCTCAAGAAGCAAGATAGGAATGATTAGGTTTCTTTTGGTGACATGTAAGAATTAAGCAAACCCGCACGTGCTACGCTTTACATTTACAACATTTAGAATCGGCCATTCCAGCTGGAAATCTGATGATCTTTGAGGTCTCTTCCAACCATAATGATTCTATATTGTTTAGTGGGTTTAGCGGGCATGGTGGCATCGGGTATACGGTCAGACTTGATGATCTTTGAGGTCTCTTCCAACCATAATGATTCTATATGGTTTAGTGGGTTTAGCGGGCATGGTGGCATCAGGTATACGGTTGGACTTGATGATCTTTGAGGTCTCTTCCAACCATAATGATTCTATGATTCTATGAAATCTGTTTGTTAGGATACCAAATAGCCTTGTCCTACTGAATGACTACTGTGAAGTTCTAAAAAACAAAACAAAATTTCATAAACACACAGATAGTTTAATATTATCTACATGTTTACCACCATGATAAGAAACCATATGAAAATAGATACCCATGCAACAAAAGACATAAGAGGGAAAACAGACCCAGATTCAAAAGAGCCCTCAGAGCTGATCTGTCTTGGCTCCAAGAAATTTAACGACTAATTTCAACTGAAATGGTTATGGACTAAATGCTGTGCATTTGTGAAAACCTGTGGCGGTGTTTCATTCCAGCGTGTATCACTGACAGCACAATCCCGTGCACAGCAGAGCTGATGTACCCTGCCAAGAATGAATACCTTCCAAATCTGAGGTTTAAATTTGATTGTTCTTGAGTCATTATAGTCACAGTAACCAGTCCTTGCAAGATAATTCATACCTTTACGTTTCTGGAGCACATAAATGAGGTACTGTTCTGCATAGGCACATTCTTAGTGAGGCCATAGAGAAAGATGTGGGCTTTCCTCTGCACGAGTCACCTATGACATCTTTCTCTGAAATGCAAGAGTGAGCCCCAGTACGTTTAACCAAAGCATGCTATCACCTTTAAAGTAGTTTAATTTAAAGCATGCTTTAGTGTGTTTAGCATAGCACTCTGTGACTTACAGACAAAAGTTATGATACTAGCTGTACTTTTCTTGACGGAGCACACACGTGATGTTTTTGCCTCAAGAGAGTGCTCCAAACAAACGCTGCCTGTATGTTATCAGGTGTGCTTCAGCTGTCTGTGCATGCACTGCTCACATCTGGGCATCCTTATGAGCATAAACAGAAAGCAAGCCATTCCAAATTAAACACAGTAGCTTTTCAGAGTTAGTGAAGGGCTCGTAGCACAAGCTCCACAAAGCCTCGGCTTTGCTGATGCTGTGAAATGGCATTCAGCTGTCGCAGGGTGGAAAACAAGCTATCTGCTGTGAATACAGAGTGAAACTGTGCCAGCCTCGCTGCATGCTTCTTCTGAAACCCTTTCAGCTAACACGAATGGCAAACTATCAACGGCAAACTGTTACCCATTTCTTATGGGATTGCTCAAGGACATCTTTCACATAGGAAAGACTTGAGTCTGACTGAAATGAAAAGACAACAGAGAAGCAGTATTCACTGGAATGGCTGTTTTCTGATGTCCCAGAAAACCCTATCAAAAATGCACACACTTCCCTCAAGCATACAAGAGCAACAGTGATGCTCTGGGCACCACCCCACACACCAGCTGGTACAGACACACTGAACAGAAAAGCTGTAATGGAGCTGTATCTGTCAGAGGACTGATAGACAAACAGTAAAGCTTTGCTTTACTCAAATAGCTGATGAGATTTGCTGGTCCTGCCTATATTCTAAGATGCAACCATATGATTAGCACAAAAAATTAACAGAAGTCAATCTCTGCTCTCAAAGGGAGAAGTGTTTGCATTACCTTGATAAGAGGCATAAAAAACCAAAACCAAAATACTTTTCTTTCCATATCTCCTCCATGACCAAACCCAATTAGGGACATTCATCCTACCGTACTGGTTTGGAGTTGTATTTTAAACCCTGCAGTAAACAAATACAGAGGAACAGCTCACACTCACAAATACCCCTCCCTCTTTATCAGTAATATCCACCAGCAACAGTGGATACCTTTGATCAGAGCTTAAGATATTGTTCTAACTTTACATAAAAAAAAAAAAAGAGGAAGGAAAAGATCAGCCCTGGAAATGGGAGGGCAGTCCTGGATAATGAGCTGCCCCTGGTTTAATGAATCACAGGAAAAACTACAGGCCTTTTTTTTTTTGTTTTTGGAGGGGCGGAGAATCTTCAGTTACTCTGAAGATTTTCTAAAAATGACTCAATCAACCTCACTATAAAAAAAAATCTGAGCGACTCAAGCATTAACAGGTCTGTAAATACAAATTGGGATATTCACCCAGGTATCCCAACTGCTTTGACAGATGAGCTGCTCTTCCCTTCAACCCACCCCACCCCGGTGCCGGTCACTCTACAGAAACACGGCACAAACCCTTGGGGAGGGGACCCACGCTTTGACAGTGCAAATAAACAGGGGACATTTGAAAAGTTTACTTCTGGGTAAGTTCCTTCTAATAAAGAACGGGGATCAAGGTCACACCCACCACCTATAACTTCTGATTTTTTCCAATACTGAAGGTGTAATAAAAGCCATGTTTTTCCTTTGCTCCTTGCAGCACCGGGCTCTGAACTCCGTCGAGTTTAGCGGGGTGGCTGATTTCCTGCCTGGGAAAGAACAAGAAGTTCCTCCCTGCTACTTGGAGCAATTGAGTATATTCCTGAACTAGCATGACAAGCAGATGAGACTATTGTAACATTAATTGCTTTCTGAAGTCCAGCTATTCTTCTTTAGTAGCCAGCAGAGCATAAATATTTAATCGAAGTTGTCTAGACTAGGAAGAGTCTTAAACAGGTGATCCTACACCAACCACATCTAGTTTACAAAACCAAATCCAGTGTTTTGGCATTTGGGCCACCATGCACCTGGAAATGCAAATACGGATTTTTCAGTCTGCTGCCCGTGACACCTCTGTGCTACGGGTCCCACTCAGCAGCCACTGCCGTCACTAAAATAATCAGGACAGCTCTTCTAAAATTAAGCCACAGTGCCATAATCCACCCAGGTTATTTCAGAGGTACTGAACTGCCACATACACGGGTGACTTCTCCCATGGCTTATGCTCCTCACTGAGGCAACTCTTCAGCTCAACTTCTACTGTTGGGCCAATTCTGATTTTATGGCGCAGAAGCAGTATCTGACACAACTGAAGAGATGTTTCCTGTGCAGGCAGGCAAAGCAAAGCAACGGCTTCACTTTGTTAGGGAAAAGCTACTGTTTCCTCTTGGGATTTCTAGACTGTTTTGGGATGAATGTTTCCCATAACCTATTTGTATAGTTGTTTTTTTTTTTTTTTCTTTTTTTTTTAATAAGAGATTTCCTTCTACTGGAACCTTGTGTATGTGACAGCATTTTTTCTCTGCCTTCAACAATCTTTACTACTTGTTTTACAGGAACATCAAACGGGGAATTTCCAAGACTTGCTTAAAGTATTTTGTGGACACAAAGTAGACTACTACTCTTGCCCATAATTTTAGAGTTTAGGTTTTAACCCTCAGCACAACACAAGCACACTGTTAATTAACTGTAGCTACTGCGTATGCAGTTCCCTAGTAATAATTTGCACAGAAGTTCCTCCTTTATGTTGCAGAGAGTGGTATAATCTTTAAATAGCTTCTTACTGCCTTGAACTTCCTTATTAGCTTCTCTCCCCAGACAGATACTGGGATAAAGACAAGCTGAGATCACAGCCATAGCTGACAGAGAGAAGGGAAATGGGGTGGGGACCACTTGCTTTGCACGAAAATAAATGTGAAAACGCTGGAGTGGGATTCTGCGTCTTACTTCAGCTCCAGCTCTGCAGCAATGCCTAGCAGAGAGCCACACAGCAGAAATTAAATTGCACGGATACAGTATCTGTCTTAATTGCCATCATTATATCAAGCGAACAAACCAGATAAACAAGAGCTACCCAGATTTGCCCACATAAGACCTGTTACCAGCTTTGAAAAATGTCAGACGTTTTCTTAGGGAACGTCAAGCAGCACAAAACTGCCACTTCTTTCCCTGGGAACTTTTAGTCCCTAGTGCAGATAGTACAAATCCCAGTATGAGCTTGGCCACGCACCGCTCCCAGCACACTTGTGACGATGGCCCCGGGACTGTACCGTGCTCACGAACTGCCCTTTGGTCACCGTTAAAACAGGGAGCCTGACGACAGCCGGACGGCTGAAATTCAGAGCTGGAGCCACTCCAGTACAGAAACCATTCCCACACCTCTCTGCTCCTCGTTCAGCACCTATCTGGTCCCCAGAAGGTGAAGAGAATCAGTCTTTCAAAAGATACTGGCAAACAGTGCTGCTTCAAGCAAGCAAGAAACACAAAATTCCCCAAACTTGGAAGAAAACCTGTAAGAGAAGCCTGCATTCCAGCAGGACAGCACCCATGGGAACACTGCTAGATCTAAGCTGCTTTGTAAGTGATGCAAAAGCCCATTTTACCCCATCTGTGAAAGATTTACTAGCATCTGCAGTCAGGCTTTATATTACTGAACTTTTATTTAAACAAGTGGTAGACTTAGTTTTTGAAACTGCACTGTAAACTTAATTTCTAAATCCACTGACAAATGAACACTTAATTTTGCAATGCATTAATACTGCTTTATAGAGTGAATCACTGAATTCAGAAGCAAAGCAATGAGTACCATCTCCTAGTCATTAACACAAAATAGATAGTTTCTATTCCACTGTAAATTGCCTAAGGTCTTATTAACATGAAAGAATAAGCCAGAAAGCTCTTTCCTGTTTTCTAAAAGTAAACAGAACTTCATTTCTCATGTATGGAAAATTCTCATTTAAAGAACAGGGGGTGGGGAACAAAGTGCTTTAACACAGCGATGGAGACCCACTGGAATTGTTTCCAGTCATGGTGTGCCATTTCGGAAGACTAACCTGTGGTTCACACATGCAATCCTTTCTACGTGGCAATAAGGACAGAGACTCTAGCCCTTGGTATTATGCAACCCTCTGACAGCATCTGTTTTTTTGGATGATTTAAATACGATTATAACTACAGGAAAAGGAGCACAATAACAAGTGAGACTTAAGGTCTGTTCTGAGGAGAACATTGAGATTTATGCAGTGGACAGGAAGCTACTTTCAGGGGAAAAAAAGCTTTTTTTCAAAGAGGTTTTAAAATAGATGAAGCAAACTGAAGCACTGGAAAAGAATATTTTGCATACAGTAAATTTGTTCACTTAATCCTTTATACTAGTATCTCGTGTTTGAATTGAAGTAACATTGCAATTGGAAATGGACGTTAAAAGTCAAGACCAGGTCTACTGCAAATGCACAAAGGAGATATGAAGGTCCCTATCACAAACACCCATCACTCAATTAAAAACAATATACAAGAAAAAAGTAAACCACAGGAAAAAAAAAGAAGGACAGAAGTCAGCAAGGGCAAGTCATAATACGCTAGAGGCACCAAATAGAGGTGACCTAACAACTGCCCTGTGAATCTGAGCACCAGACAAATAAACCTCGGGAGTTAAACCTTCTACCCCAGCACACAGAGGAGGGATGAGGAGGGATGCTGCCTCCCGGCAAGGTGCAAGGAGATACCCAGGGAGAACACAGCAAGGAAGAAAGGGTAAAGATTTGGGGAGGGGAGGTGAAGAGAATGGAGGAAAGTGAAGGAGCAAATTAAGCAAGTGGCCTCTGGAAAGCCAGGCTCAGGAGCTCGATTTTAACACAGTGAGAAACAGGGCCAGTGCCAGCCAACAAGTGGCCTGCTATCACGAGGGAGAAGAAAACTATTTTAGGCTTTGTCATCTGCATGCGTGGATTCTCCCTGCTAAATGCCAGATGCTAAATGTTCTTCTCTAAGCATGCAGGAATATCAATTATTGCAGACTGTACGCTAATCAAATTATAAGTTTACAAATTAAGGTACTCTTTCTCTGCAAGTGCTTGTTCTTTCCTATACTGTACCAAAGGATCTGCCTCAAACATCCAGAGACTTCAGAAGCATTTAAACCTGAATTAGAAGTCAAATTAGCCCATGAAGGGAAATGCTTTTTTTTTTTTTTTTTTTTTTACTATATAGTAAGTAAATAGGCAGATGAATTTCTGATTTTTAACCACTGACATCTACATGTCTAATGCAACTGGTGGAGAAAAACACTGTTGTTTAAGATCATGCAATCCTCTAGCAAAGTTCAGGTTCCACTCCCCCTCTTTCCAACATATATGTGCACTTCATATAAAACTACCATGCCTCCAAAGAAATCTGACTGCAGAGGCAGAATACACCGTTCATAACACTCAAGGAACAGAGATGGCTGCGGGTCCAGAGTCGGACGATTCCTCTGTGCATGGAACAACCAACTCTTCCACCAGCCTGGACCTTTCGACCCCTCTGAACGTAAGTCACAGCTCAACTGCTCCAGTGCCTGCAAGTTTAACTAAATGCTCTCAGAGTTTCAATCTTTAATCCAGTCTTAGAAGGCTTTTTCCTTCAGGGTAGCATTTTTATATGTATCAAAACATGAGTAAACAGATTAGCAACAGGTGGGTTTTCCTTTAATTACAGTCACACACAATAAAACTATTTCAGCCGGTGAGGCACAGTAAAGCTGTTGCCATGGTTACAATCAGTAAACAAAAAGAAAAGCACAGTAAGGCCAGAATTTCTCTAACCGTATATTCCAAATAAACACACAAAGCAAAGCTGAGAGCTTTCTGCTTCTGAAACTCTGCCCAGCCACCAGATGAAGCAGTTACAGGACTTTTTTCCTTCCGCACATCGAAAGGCCAACGCAGCCTTCTGCCAGCAGGAAGCCGGACTTGAGCTGCAGCATTACTGAACGCAGCTTTGGACCCGAGGAACAGCAGAGCTGGAGACCCACCCCAGCCCACCCTCTGCCGCAGGCATAGCCCCGTTTCGGAGGGGTTTCATCTTCTCGTGAGGTCGTGCTCGGGAGGCAGGGCTGCGGGCGGCAAGAGCCACCTCTGATCCAAAGCTTTTACTGCCCTTTCCTACTACCTTCATCTTTCCTCCTGTTCTTAAGATGAAACACTACAGTGTATCCCTTACAGAAGAATGGGAAAATAGCACTAACCTTTGATCAGCTTGGTATTTTATACTACATAATTATCAAGTATAGGTTATAATTTCATTTAATTTCTTCTCATTTATGAGTACTTGACAAATTATGTCAAAGGGTTTTCTGACTATATTAATCTCCTCGCACAAGAGGGAACTGCAGGTTAAATTTCAACAGAAAAGATAATTGCTTTATGCTACTGGAAGGTACACAATAAAAAGCCTTTGGAATGGAGCTGCTGCATTCCTTCCCGTCAGTCTCTCTGTGCTCCATTACACACATTTCACACTGCAATATTAAAGTGATGCTTGTTTTGGTAACACATTCTGACCACACAGAATTAGAAGACTGATCCCAGCACAGAGGAGGAATTTGCAAGGCTGTTCCAAAAGAGGAGCCAAGCCTTCCACCCGATCAATAGTTTTGACAGGGCAACAAAATCCCTCCAAAACAAAAAGATTGTCTATACGCAAAAACAATAAACATACAAACATCCCAACTGTTTTGGAGGAGGATCTCCCTCCGCTCTCCCAAAAGGTGTCTGTATTTGGAATCATGCTACAGAAGCTTTTGCTGGAAAACCAAGTCCCTGCAGCACTCAGGCCTCCAAGCTGCCATTCCTCTTTTGAAAGAGCTGAAAGTTTAAACATTATGAGCAGTGACAGGTCAACTTCAAAAAGCCTTCAATATTCAACCCCGTCACAACTCACTTCTTCAAGAATTGATCCCTTCCATCATTCATACCACTAATTTTTTTTCCACCTTACTGAGGCTGAGTGCCAACTAGGCATCCTTCAAAAAGCAGCAGTATTACACATGGACTACACATTTTTAAAGTATTTTCTACGCTCATCATTAACCCACTCAACTGGCCACAGAGTGCCAGAGCCCACACTACCTGAACAAGGGAAGCAGAAGCACAGAGCTAACACCACATACGCTAACATGACTTCAGTCAGTTTTCCTGCAGCACGAGCTATCCCTGCAAGAAGCGGTCCCACTTGCTCCAGGACCACCCCCTGCCTCGTCCCATCACCAGTGCTCACCCAACCATGACCTCAGCTGCACTGACAGGGGTTGAAACTGTTTTGATGGGTTAGTTTTGGTATCTACTGGTATCTACTTCACTGGAAGGTTACACTAATGCTTGTGCCAGCAAAGGGAAAGAAGAAGTAGCTGAGCACAGAGGTCTGCTGCCCTCAGACTAAAGGAGAACAAAACCAACAAAGGAAGTCTGATAGACCTTTTACACTTCTCATGATAGCAGAAACACTTGGCTCTTTATCAGAAAGGATGAAAGCACATGCATAACGCTGTGTTTCAACACTGAAATGCTTCTTGCAACCAGCTTTCAATAATGAATTCCAAGACGCAGAATGATATACAGCATTTATTATCTAATACTGCTGATATTAAGATGAGATTCTGAACCAGTAATAAATCTTTGCCTCTGAACTCCACCTTGGAGCAAGCGCTTTGCAGAACCTATAGCAGTACTGTTGTCATTTTTGTCTCTTAACAACATACCTTCAAGGCTTCTATGACAAGATCTCTTGCTTCCAATTCCCCCTCAAGGATGCTAAACAGCGTCAGTAGTTCTGGTTTGCTGAGTTTTTCCAGATTCATCCTGAAAACCTGAAAAAAATAGAAGATAGTTTACTAGGTATTTCTTTGTACATTAAAATCAGTATTCTAAACTATGATGTATAATCTGTATTTAACTTCAGCTTCCAGTTTTTTTGGACTGCAAATTGCCCTGGGAGGAAAGAGGACAAGACACAAGGGGAACATTTTCTCTTCAACTTCCAAGACCAGTTGTAGAAGATGCATTTTTCACCTTTTCCCAAGGGGTCATGAACATACGCACACCCAGATGGTGCAGGCAGAAGGTACAGGCTAATATGACAGTAGAACATTCACCAAGAAGTAGTCAAAGTTAACAGGAGTGGGAAAAACATGGATATTCAAAAGCCATACTACTGTAAATTACACATCTGAATCACACAGCTGCAAACATCAGTGAAATGAGACGGAAGAGCTGTGATGAATGCAGTCCAAACTGGCCCCTGCACAAACTTAACGGTAAAGTTAACATTTTGGTGCTATGATACGTTTCCTAGGAATGCCATTATGCGTTGCTAATGGAACAGACCCAAACCACTTTACAAAAATCAATGCCACAAAAAACACACATTCAATTACTATTCTTTCAAACTGTTTCAATATCACCATAATTTATTAAATATAATTTTACTGTCCACATAAGGACAAAGATCCATCATCTGAAGGTCCATACAAAAAGCTTTTCTTTCGCCTGCATCTTTGCTGATACACTTAACATTGCCTAGTAATAAGCCTTTTTATTACATCATTTTGTTAACAATGGAAATAATTTCAAAGACTAACCCTTGTCTCTGATGCAAATATACCCATTGATATAGTCTCATGCTTTGCACAACAATCAAATATACTTTTCTGAATCCAAGTCACATCCATCTTTCACCACTCTGCATTATTCACAAAATACGATGGCATAGAGAAGCTACTCGGAGATATCAAACTCCACTTCACTGGCAAGTCATAAAGGGTTGATTTAACCTTTACTAGAGAAGTCTATCCAGCTAAAACATTCAACTGAACTCTAATTTTCTGAAGTCACTGCTACTTTACAACTGATTTGCATAGCTGTGCCTTGGAGAATTATACACAAATGCAAGTTCTGTCTTGTTTATGCCAAAGCAGTTTTCCAGTTGCTGGGAAGAGAAAGTTCTGTTTACAGAGAGGAGTAGGTAGCCTTCATACAGCAAGAGAAATCAGAAATCTACTTTGTGCCCCCTCAGCTAAGCAGGCACGTTTCTCATCAGGCAGTCCCATTCTTGCTTCATGCAGCATTTTACATGAAATTCCATAAAGCAGCAAGGTTTCTTACAAACTTTTCTGGCTCGCCCTACCATTGGCATGGGCTGCTCAAGGAAACTTCAGTGGAAGCGACTATGACTGTCCGGGGTATTGCGGCTGTTCCAAAACCAATTTAACGGGACACTATGGATCTGTCAGCATTGTATTTATGTTCCCTATTGCGGATCTGTTAATGTATGTTCAAGAGGAATATATGCGAGTGGAGTGTTTGGCAATCCCGTTCATACCTGCCATAATTTCAGGAAAGCCTGATCAAGACTTGACACAAAAGCATAATTTAGGAAACCTGCTACATTGACTCAAATCACATTTCAGCTGGCCAGGGCAGCATTGGTCACTGTTCAGCAAGAGCTATGCTTTCAGACTAGTCAACAGACCTTTACAGAGAGCTGTCCGGGACGTGAACCTGACCATCTCCCTCAGCTTCGGGTACGTCTGCTGACGGTTCTGCTGCCACAGGGAGCCTGGCCAGCTGGGATCGCATGGAAGGAGTGTGATTTACAACTCGTTCATCTTACATAAAAAGGGAGAGAGCGCAATAGAAGCAGCAAATTAATGCTAAACCATAAATAAGTAGCCATACAGGGTGAGAAAAGAGGGGGCCGGGTTTTAGCCTTTAACATTTACCATGCTTATGTTGGTACTTGAGTCCGAGCCACATTGCCTCCCTGCGCAGGTTTTATATCTGGAACATCTGAATGTCTGCTCGGGAGATGCAGATGCACGGCTTAATTTCAAAACCATCTCAGTCCTTGCTCAGACTAAATTCACAGGTGCTAAGACTGAATCAGTACTGATGGCAAATAGCAACAACTGGTTTTGCCCGATACTCATCAAGTTACATTAGTTTTGTGGCATTATAAGCCAGAACCAAAAATGAGAAGTTTTCTTTGAGATCTTAGAACAAAGTGTATCATCTAACTCCGTTACCCCAGGACACTACATTTTGAACGCGGACTTTCAATGTAACTGTGTCTGTGCTTTTCTCTTAAAAACAGATAATGTGGAAATGTGCAGCTGCACCTCTCCATTAGCTAACGAACTGCATGCTCGTAAAAGGAGGACAACTACCAACTGCAGTCTGATATTTTAAAGCTGTTAGTCTGGGCAGTAATCGCTTCTATTCTATATTTTAAATACTCCCATTGTGACTTGTGCTTCACAGTGTTATAGAAATAAGCCATTCTATTCTTAACATGCCTCTATGGCTATAGTCTTTAATCAGCTTAATAGCATAAACAAGCCCTGTCCTAAAATATACAGGTAAAAATACTTACAGAAATAAAGAGCAGGAGTCAGTTTGCACAGCAATCATTTATAGAACAACAACAGGTAACATTAAAGATCTATAAGTGGTACAGCCTCAGCTTCCTTGTGTGCAACCTGCTGCTATAGAAGACCTTTAACTGCTCTGTTCGTATAGGTTATGCCATGCTGCTGAGGCAACAGGCTGGGAGCAGATGCTACAAATAAAGTCACTGCCCTAAAAAAGCCCACTAAATTGCACTTGTATTCCACACTGATTTACAGGGAACTTTTAAATGTATTAGAGCACACCTGGCAGATACCTGTTATGCTGGATCTATAAAAATCCCAAGTGCTCCCTTTTGGGGCCACTCAATACTAGGGAGCTGAAAAATGGAAAAAAAGCTCTATTCATTTTATGTTATTATTTTACAAGAACAAGAAGCATCTCTGAAATAAAGAGCTAATAAGCACATATTTGAGCTCCTCTTCCCCTATCCAAAACCGCATCCCTTCCTGGCCCTCCAGGCTCCTGAGTCGACCTTTCCAAGACTGCTTTGCAGTTACACGTCCCTGTGCCTTCCCTTGTCCCACTTTTTAATGAAAGACCACACCAATCCTATTCAATTGCCCAGTTCTCCCCCTTGCAAACAGTCCAATTCTGCCAAACACGTGTACTCATCAGCTGCGGAACCTGACTCATTATTTCAAAACCTTTAACCAAGAGATAAGAGTTTCACAGCGTTAGAAACAAGATCTAGAAATACCCAGGGCATATTACTCCTTTACGTTCAGGGAAATATGCCGACGAGTCCAATCACACAGATCACAAACCACAAGGACCTCATTATTTAGTCTGACGGTATAAATATTTTCCCTGAGTCTGAGATATACCACCATTTTTGGGCAATAAGCAAGAGTTTAGAGCATAAACAAAGATAAATACTTACAGCTTGCCTAAAGGTAAACTTCCTTTCAGCTATGCTGTGGACCATTAGAGTCTCCTCAGCAGACACATACCTACCCTTGAAAGAGACAAAACTCTTATTTTGGAAAGTTATTTCCCAGTATTTAACTGAAAATAAATACCAAGACCAGTTTAAGCATACGTACAACCATACAAGCAAACAAACCAGGGTAAGTTATCTTTGGCATGTGCCACTTCAGGAACAAGAGAGATAAGCTTCCAGACCGTGGCAGCTCCTCCGCGCCCTGAATCACGCTACGATGATTATGAAACCATTAGAGGTAACATTTCGCTTGGGCTCACATACACACAAGCACGACCCAAGTTACCCAACATCGCCAGTACAAGAGAACTTCACCCACCGACTTCAGTGAAGGTCAGAGTCACTGGCAGTGGGCACTAACCAAAGGGCAGCAGGAGCACACAGCCAGGGGAGTTTGTCAAGTGGAAGTTTCAAAATACTTTGCAAGCACTTGGTTCAAAACTCTTCTACTTTTTAAAAAAGTGTCATGAAGAACATAGCTTGTCATTCCTTTTTTCTTCTGAGGAGGGTATTTCCTTTCCTTTCATAAGCCACTGTTACAGCTACATCAACGCAACAATGCCTCTATGTCTATAATCCTGAATCAGCTTCATTTTCTTTTTTTTCCTGTCCCTGAAGAGGAACTGATATTTTCCAGGAGCCTGCATGGGCAGTCACATAATTGCATTCATATGAGAACCTAAATGACGACTTTGAAAACTCTTGATAGACAAGTTTTTAAAGATGCTCCTGCATGTTTAGTGTAATGTTTGAGTTGTTAAAATAATTACATGATGTGTTTATATAATAAAAAAGCTAAGATACACTTTATAATTGTGCATCCACAGTGCTACTTGGCATTGCATCAGAACTGTAGAGAATTAGGTTAAAACGAGCAGTGTTTAGATCCCCCACCTCTATATCTTAGAACTAGAAGGAGAAAGGACACCTACCCCAAAAGTCCCCCTCACCCCGTTATTTCCTGAAGTACTACTTTGGATGAAGCAAATACGTAAAATTCACGTTCAAAATGTTGCTAAAGTCCTTGAACAACCACTGTGCAGTAACTGCAGCTCCTCGAAAGAAAATTAAAATAATCAGGTAGCTCATCTGAGCTTCAGACTCCCCAACACGCTCGGTGGAGGTGGGGAGGGGAGCCCGGGGCAGGAGCCCAGCACCCCCCGGCCGAGGGGGGACACACCACCGGCCCGCA